GAGTAGCTGGGATTACAGGCACGTGCCACCATGCCCAGCTAATTTTTTTGTATTTTTAGTAGAGACGGGGTTTCACCATGTTGACCAGGATGGTCTCGATCTCTCAACCTCGTGATCCACCCGCCTCGGCCTCCCAAAGTGCTGGGATTACAGGCTTGAGCCACCAAGCCCGGCCATTTTTTTTTTTTTTTTTTGAGACGGAGTTTTGCTCGTTACCCAGGCTGGAGTGCAATGGCGCGATCTCGGCCCACCACAACCTCCACCTCCTGGGTTCAGGCAATTCTCCTGCCTCAGCCTCCTAGGTAGCTGGGATTACAGGCATGTGCCACCATGCCCAGCTAATTTTTTGTATTTTTTTTTTTTAGTAGAGACGGGGTTTCACCATGTTGACCAGGTTGATCTTGATCTCTTGACCTCGTGATCCACCCACCTTGGCCTCCCAAAGTGCTGGGATTACAGGCTTGAGTCACCGCGCCCGGCCTAAAAATTGGCAGTCTTGACTGTTACTGTGTAGAACCCAGAAAACACATGGGATGGGGTTTGGGGGCAGCTGCTGGTGACCCAGCACCTCTATCTCCTTGGTAGGTGAGGTAGCCACGAGAGGATGGGCCTCTAGGGAACCAGTCACCCCACCCTGTCTCAGGGTAGAAGCCGACTGTGTACAGGTACCACTCCCCAAAGACAGCAATTCACTATCACCCTGACTGCAGCCTGTCTGTGCCCTGTGCTGTGACCTTGACCTGGGTCCAGTGAACGAAGAAAAGGAGTCATCAGGCCAGAGATCCCAGAATATTCCACAGGCACTGTCTGGCCTAGCCGACCCAAACAATTTGGAGGTGGGGGAACCCCAGGATGGACAGAAGTGAATTCTGGTCTTGTGACAGTGACAGGTAGCAGAGGGCCAGCTGAGATCATGGATCTGGACTCTGGCAGCTACAGGCTCAATGCCACTCTGGAATGTTATGCAGGACCTGAATGGGGCACCCTGCTAGATGACATGTATAAAGCACTGGAACTGGTGGCTCACACCTGTAATCCCAGCACTCTGGGAGGCTGAGGCAGGAGGATCGCAGGAGGCCAGGAGTTTGAGACCACCTGGGGTAACATAGCAAGACCCCTATCTCTACAAAAAGTAATAAATAGCTGGGCATGGTGGTGCATGCCTGTAGTTCCAACTACTCGGGAGGCTGAGGTGGGAGGATGCCTTGAGCCTGGGAGATGGAGGCTGCAGTGAGCTATGATTGTGCCTCTGCACTCTAGTCTGGATGACAGTGTAGCCTGGCTCATAGGCAGCGCTGCCTAAACGTTGGCTGTCGAGTCCCTTGCAGTTGGCACTCTTTATCCAGGTCGTACCACGTGGTTTCCAAATGCATTCCGGTTTAATCGGCACCTTGGTGCCATGAAGTGGCATCTGACCTGCTCATGTCCAGCTTGATGCTGGTTGTGTCCCCGGGGCTGAGGACTGACCAGGAGGAGTGAGAGAGACACCAGGGGTTAAATGAGAAGACTCTTCCCCGGGTCTCAGGCTCATGGCTAGAGGTGCAGAAAGAGCCCAGCTGTCCCCTGGGCATAAGGCTGCTAAAGGCGGTGGGGTGGGGTGGGGTGGGGCGGGCCAGGCCATGTGGTTCATGGAGACTTGTGGGCTCACTGTCCTGCTCACCGGAACACAGGACTGCAAGAGACATGACAAAGCCAGGTTTATTACTCTGGGTTAAACCTGTGGAGGCAGGACCTGGGAAGGGCATGGGGACAGTTCTCAGTACACTAAGATCTGCTGATCACCTGCCCATGGGCCAGGGTCCTCTTCCTGAGACTGCAGCTTGTGGGATCACTGCAATGTCCCATCGTGGAGGTGGGTAGGGTGTTGGCCTGTGCTGGGCCAGCGTCCTCAGGAAGGCGCCTTGCTGGAGGAGGTGGTGGCAGCTGCCCTGTTCTTCTTGGCCGGGGCCTTCAGCAGTGCCAGCTTCTTAGGCAGGCTGCTGCTGGCTTTCATCATCACATCATGTTCGATCTTCTTCCGGATCCCGACTTCTAGGTTCTGAGGGACAAGCACAGGGCAGTCAGACTGTGACCTGGGGTGGAGAGAGGGCCTGACTGGTCAACCTCTTCCAGTCCAGAGCTCACAGCGGGCTAGATCAGCACTGTCCCCTCAAACCGCACCTGAATGTGAGTCTGGCCGGTGTGGGGTCCTGCACTCTCCAGGCCTCCACACCCACACAAAATCCATACCTCCACACCTTAGCTTTTAAACCTCTGCTCATGCCCCTTTTACAGATGGGGAAACAGGCTGATGGAGCCAGGAGGCACTGAATGCCCAGGTCCCTACGTCACATGGTACCCAGCGTGCCACAGCCTCTGGTCCCAGTCTCTCAGTGTGCAGCCTCCTCTGCCCCAGGTCATCTCTGCTTTGCAGACGGCAAGCTGAGGATCCGACGGGTGGGCAAGGAAGCTGGCAAGGAAGGCACAGGTGTGGGGCAAAACTAGCAGTGTGAGTCCCAAACTAGTGTCTCCGCTGCCTTCTCCAGACTGCCCCTGCTCTGCCGCTATGAGTTCCAATGGGTTGGGTGAGGTGGCTCAAGCCTGTCATCCCAGCACTTTGGGAGGCTGAGGCAGGAGGATCACTTGAGGCCAGGAGTTCAAGACCAGCCCTGGCAGCAGAGTGAAACCCGTCTCTACCAGAAACTAAAATTAGCCGGGTACTGGCACTCACCTGCAATCCTACCTACTCAGGAGACTGAGACGGAAGGATTGCTTGAATCCAGGAGGCGGAGGCTGCAGTGAGCTATAAGGGGGCCACTGCACTCCAGCTTGGGCAACAGTTAGACCCTGACTTAAAAAAAAAAAAAAGTATAACCAACGCACCTGACACTTCTTTGAGACCTCTGCCGTTCTCAGAGGCTTACAAAGCTGCGCTTTCAATTCCCTTCCCATATCACCTCGCTCCCTTCCTGAGTTCTATTAAAGATCAAGAACAGCTGACGTTATCTGAACACGTTTTGCGCCGCAGGTCCTGCTTCTACGAGGCTCTGCTAAAACGGTAAGTGGTGTTCCTGTACCCCTTGCACAAGAAAAGGGAGGCTCACAGAGCTGGGAGTCCTCCAGGCCTCATCCCTTGCCCTTTGCCGATCCCTGTGCTCCTTCCCTGAAGGCCCCTTCCCTCGCCGGCTTCCAGACTTCCTTGAACTCGTCCCTAGCACGTCCCCCAGCCTCTATCCGTCGCCAGCCTCCACCTATTGCCTCTCTCTGCGCCCCGGGCTCCATCCCTCGCTCCTAGCTGGTCCCCGGGATCCATCCTCTCCCCTCGCCGACCCCCGGGGTCCACCCCTCGCCGCTAGCCATCCTCCAGGCTCCACCCCTCGCCACTCGCCGCCCTCCGGGCTCCATCTCTCGCCCCGGCACACCTTCTTAAGCTTCTGCTGCTGCACGACGCGCGCCTTCTTGGGAGCGATAACACGACCTGGGGAAAGATGCGCTCGCGTGAGGTCGGGAAGCCCCGGGTCCACCTCACTCCCAAGTTCCCGGGCCACTCCTTACCGCCTTTCCTCGGGCCCCGATTCTTCTCAGAGGCCGCCGCTGCCGTCTTGCTCTTTGCTGGCTTGTGCGCCTGGAATTTGCGTTGTCCCTGCGCCATGTTCCGGCATGCAGCGGAAGGGGCGGGGCTGTGAGCGGTCGTAGCCGGAAGGCACGGGGCACTATGGGATACAGCGGGGCGGAAGAACGCAAGACCTCACAGGATGCGATGTGGCACAGATTTAAAGAGACAGGACCCCACAGGGGTAAAGGATCACAGCCGGAGTTTTGCAGATATTGTGAACAAAAGGTGACCATGATAAGCTAACGTTTATTGAGTGCTTATGTGTTGTAGAAAACTTACGTTTTATGCTCTTTACACATAAAAACTCAGACTAGGTTTAGGGGTGCAGCATTTACCTCTAGTGCAGAATTTAAGAAAGTCCGATAACTTCTGTAATCATAAACAATATTTCCAAGACTTAAAAAATATTTTCATATCCAAAACAATCAAATTGTCAAACTGCATCCTGCAGACCGGCAGCGTAATTCTATAAAGTTTCAGTGGAGCCAGGGTGTTGTGGTCAGTAAGCTGAAGGCACGAGTGCAGTGTTCTAACCTCTTTAAAATTTGGTTTTGGCCGGGCACGGTGGCTCACGCCTGTAATCCCAGCACTTGGGAGGCTGAGGTGGCGGATCACTTGATATCTGGAGTTCGGGACCGGTCTGGCTATATGGTGAAACCCTATCTCTACTAAAAATACAAAAGAGTTGGCCGGGTGCGGTGGCTCACGCCTGTAAGCACTTTGGGAGGCTGAGGCGGTCGCATCACCTGAGGTCAGGAGTTTGAGACCAGCCTAACATCGTGAAACCCTGTCTGTACTAGAAATAGAAAAATTAGCCTGGCATAGTGGCGGGCGTCTGTAATCCCAGCCATTTGGGAGGCTGAAGCAGGAGGATCGCTTAAACTTGGGAGGCGAAGGTTGCAGTGAGCCGAAATCATGTCACTGCACTCCAGCCTGGGCGACACAGGGAGACCCTGTTTCCAAAAAAAAAAAAAAAATAATAAAATTTATTTTGTTCTTCATGGATTTTTTTATTTTTAAAGATAGGGTCTCACTCTGTCGTCCAAGCTGAATGAAGTGCAGTAGTGAAATATAGGACACTGTATCATCCTTGAACTCTTGTGCTCAAGCCATCCTCCCACCTCAGCCTGGGTAGCTGGGGCTAGAGGTGTGACCCACCATGCTCAGATAATTTTTTTTTTTTTTTTTTTTTTTTGAGATGGAGTCTCGCTCAGTCACCCAGGCTGGAGTACAGTGGCACCACCTCGGCTCACCACAACCTCCGCCTTCGAGGTCAAGCGATTCTCCTGCCTCAGCTGAGTAGCTGGGGTTACAGGCATCCGCCACCACACGTGGCTAATTTTATATTTTTTTACTAGAGATGGGGTTTCTCCATGTTGGTCAGGCTGGTCTCAAACTCCCGACCTCAGGTGATCCGCCCGGCTCAGCCTCCCAAAGTGCTGGGATGACAGCCTGGCTGGTGGCTGAGCTTTTTTACTGTCCTCTTAAAATCCTGCCCTGGTGGTGTCACCTAGCTCCAGCCCTGACCTTAAGAGGGAGGTACAGGTGTTAGCCACACTTTATAAATGAGGACACCAAGGCACAGAGAGGTGAAGTGAGTTGTCTAAGATCACACAGTGGAAAAAGTGGCAGAGTTAGGATTTGAACCTGGGTGGCCTTCCTCTAGATGCTGGGATGTAGATGGAAGGTCCTGTCTGATCTCTCTGCCCTAGGAACAAGTGTGGTCAGGGGCGGGTAGGTCAGCTTTTGGGCAGCCATTCAAGAAATTTATTAAAACTCCTAGAGAGGCAGGCTAGGGAGGACTGAGTTGGTTACATCTGGTGTCCATCTGGGTCCCATCCCTGGAAGAGATGGTGGTGGTTAGGGCTGCCCGGAGGTCCTCAGGGGCAAAGACCCCCAGTTCTGTGATGATGCCGCCAGTGATGAGGTCGTGGGGGGTGACATCGAAGGCAGGATTCCAAACTCCAATCCCTGCAGAGGGGAGAGAGGAGGAGAGGAGGCAGGAATTCGCTTCTGTGAAAGTTCTTAGGTTACGGTCATCTGTTTCTACCACAGTGGTTCTTGGAAGTGGGGACTCCTGGAGCACCTAGAGTCTCACCCCTAACGTACATGCAGGCAGGGACACTGTACCCAATACTGACTGTAGACTCCCAACTGCTCCTAGGTCCTATGCACATCTAGCCCACTTATTATTGATTGATTCATTGATTTATTTGAGATGGGGTCTCGCTCTGTCGCCCAGGCTGGAGTGCAGTGGTGTGATCTCGGCTCACTGTAATCCCTGCCTTCCCGGTTCAAGCAATTCTCCTGCCTCAGCCTCTCAAGCAGCTGGGATTAACAGGTGTGCACCATGACACCTGGCTAATTTTTGTATTCTTAGTAGAGACAGGGTTTCACCATGTTGGCCAGGGTGGTCTCGAACTCTTGACCTTGTGATCCACCCACCTCAGCCTCCCAAAGTGCTGGGATTACAGGCGTGAGCCACCGCACCCAGCAGGGTGTCCCCTTTCTGAGGGGGCAGCTTACCGGGTGCCGCAATCCGGACCCCGTTAACATCGGTCAGCTCCTGGCTTGGACGCTCTTCAATGATGATCTCCCTGCCAGTCTCCAGACGGAGGTCGCAGGAAGAGCTGGGAGCAGCCACGTAGAAGGGAATGCCGTGGTGCTTGGCGACAATGGCCAGCTGGTAGGTGCCCACCTTGTTGGCTGTGTCGCCATTGGCAACCACGCGGTCAGCTCCCACGATCACGGCTGGGGAGGTGGCGCGTGAGAAGTTGGGGGTCATTACCTGGCCCCACGCCCCAGAGCCCCACCCCCAGGGCTTACCCCCCAACAGGGCTAACGGGCTGCTTACCTGACACACCCCTATGGGCCATGGCGGCAGCTGCCATGCTGTCGGCAATGAGGGTGGCGGGGATCTGCTCATAGACCAGCTCGAAGGCCGTCAGTCGGGCTCCCTGGTTGTAGGGCCGCGTCTCGGTGCAGAAGGCGTGCTCCAGGCGGCCCAGGCTGTGCAGTGATCGGATCACACCTGCAGGGGACCCACCCATCAGGAAAAGGCCCCCGGAAGGGGCAAACAGACGGGGTGGTCCATCAGTTAGGGGTGCAGGCTCCGAAGGTGGGCATGGATGGACAAAGGCTTACGGAGCACAGTCCCACCCCGAGGCCCTCGCAGGGTCAGTTCCCTCTGCCTGCTACGCTCTTCCCAATGCTCACATAGTTCCTTGTTTCACATCTGTTTAAAGGACACCTTCTTGGTGAAGCCTTCCCTGATCTTTCAGTTTTGCGCAATAACCCCCACACTTCCAGTCTCCTGATCTGTCCTTTGCATTGATCACCTTCTAATGCCTCATGTGTACAGCCAGCCCCCCTTTTCTGTGGGTTCTCCACCCAGGGACTCAACCACGTGGGTTGAAATCTTTGACCAGAATCACTGGCACTCGGGAAGCAGAGGCTGCAGTGAGCCGAGATGGTGCCGTGGCATTCCAGCCTGGATGACAGAGCAAGACTCTGTCTCCAGAATAAATAAATAAATAGCCATCCTCCCATCTCAGCCTCCTGAATAGCTGGGACCCCAGGTGCATACCACTACACCCAGCTAGTTTTAGTATTTTTTGTAGAGACAGGGTTTTGCCATGGTACCCAGGCTGGTTTCAAACCTCTGAGCTCAAGCGATCCGCCAACCTTGGCCTCCCAAAGTGCTGGGATTACAGGCTTAAAAACAGAGACGGGGCCGGGCGCGGTGGCTCACGCCTGTAATCCCAGCACTTTGGGAGGCCGAGGTGGGTGGATCACGAGGTCAAGAGATCGAGACCATCCTGGTCAACATGGTGAAACCCCGTCTCTACTAAAAATACAAAAATGAGCTGGGCGTGGTGGCGCGTGCCTGTAATCCCAGCTACTCGGGAGGCTGAGGCAGGAGAATTGCCTGAACTCAGGAGGCGGAGGCTGTGGTAAGCCGAGATCGTGCCATTGCACTCCAGCCTGGGTAACAAGAGCGAAACTCCGTCTCAAAAAAAAAGAAAATAGAGATGGGGTCTTGCTATGCTGCCAAGGCTGGTCTAGAAGTTGTGAGTGCCAGCAGTCCTCCGACCCAGCATCTTGATTACAGTCCTGCGCTGCACTGCACCCAGCCAGTAACTAGAATTTAGTTCGTATTTACATTGTACTCGCTATTATATGCAATCTAGAGATGATTTACAATATGGGGGTGGCTCACATCTGTAATCCCAGCACTTTGGGAGGCATGAGAATCTCTTGAACCCGGGAGGCGGAGGTTGTAGTGAGTTGAGATCGCGCCACTGTACTCTAGCTTGGGCGACAGAGCAAGACTCTTTTTTTTTTTTTTGAGACGGAGTTTCGCTCTTGTTACCCAGGCTGGAGTGCAATGGCGCGATCTCGGCTCACCGCAACCTCCGCCTCCTGGGCTCAGGCAATTCTCCTGCCTCAGCCTCCTGAGTAGCTGGGATTACAGACACGTGCCACCATGCCCAGCTAATTTTATATTTTTAGTAGAGACGGGCTTTCACCATGTTGACCAGGATGGTCTCGATCTCTTGACCTCGTGATCCACCCGCCTTGGCCTCCCAAAGTGCTGGGATTACAGGCTTGAGCCACCGCACCTGGCCACAGAGCAAGACTCTTAAAAAAAACTGTGTGTACATATATATGTGTGTGTGTGTGTGTGTGTGTGTGGATGTGCACAGGTCGTGCAAATGTGACGGCATTTTGTGTATCATAGACTTGAGCATCCGTGGATCTCCGTATCTGTGGGAGGTCCTGGAACAAGTCCTCCACGGACACTGAAGAAGGACTGTATTTATCTTGCCTGCTGACTGTTCCTTCTACTTTCCTGGGACCCCTGAGAGCAGAGGTTTCGTCTGTTTTGTTCACTGCTGCGTCCCCAGCAAATGGAAGTGTGCGGACCACCGCGGGTGCTTACTAAATGCTGGCGGAGTGAAAGAGTCAAAGGCAGAGGTCTTGTCATCAAGGCCTCAGTTCTCAGGGATGAAGGTGGGACTCAGGCATGTAGGCAACGTTCCTGGGGAATTTAGGGTCAAGTGGGATCTGCCGCCTTGACCCCTGAGAGCCCATTCACCGTCTCCTGGTCGCAGCTACGTGATCTTTCTCTGGTCACTCCCTTCTCCCCAGTCCCTCTTGGAGGCCACATCCTGGCCTGGCTCTAGGCATATGGCTCAGACAGGGCCCACTGAATGGCTGAGCTGGGATGGGCAGGTGGTCTTAGTGCCTAGTGGACCCCCTGAGATACAAGGAGACTTTTCTAGTACAGGAGGCTCTTGTCCTCACGATTTGAGACCTAACAGCCCCCCTGCCAGCCCATGGAGCCTGGAGATGAAGGAGGGCAGAGCCAAAGAACAGAGATAGCTAGATTCTGATGCTACTGGCTGAACCCCTTGATCTAGCCATATCTGAAGCCAAGAGTATAACTTTTTCTGTACACTAATACCTTCACATTTTTTTTTGGTGGGTGAAGTGGTTTGGGTTTGAGCTTCTTTCTCTTGTATCCAAAAAAGGTCCCAGAAGGCCCTTCCCTACTGCCTGAGCAGGCCCACTCACCTAGGGCTGTGCCATAGCCAGCAGTGGCCAGAGCACCGGTGTTACAGTGGGTCAGCACAGCCACCTTGCCACCGTTGGGGGCCGCCCGGTCCAAGAGGTGGCGGGCTCCGAGGTCCCCGATGCTCTGGTTGTCTCTGAGGTCTTTGTCCAGCATGTCCTCGGCGCAGCGGATCACTCTGGGAGGGACAAGGGACGTTTTTAGCACCAGCCACCAGGCCCTGGGACCCAGGCGACCCCCTCCTCTCGGCCCAGTGCTGCTGTCCTGGAGCCCTTCTGCTCAAAGCCTCTCATTGCTGTGGGGCCTGGACCCTTCCGCCATGGCCACCAAAGCGCCACTCTATTCATTCACGCAAACACACGTTTACTGAGTACTTCCAGTGTGACCCAGCAGTAAACAGGACAGAAATCTCTACCCCTGTGGAGCTGATGCTGGGGTGATAAATAGATCATAAAATGAAGAAGATGGGGGAATCAGGCGAGGGCGAGCAGCGGGTGAGCTGGATCATACACGCTGGTGGAGGAGGGCGACAGTGCTATGGATGCCTGGCCTGCACCAATGGCACGTGCAAAGGCCGTAAGGCAGGGTCGAGCTTGGTGGGATACAGTGACATTGCTAGGAGGGGCCGGAGCAAAAGGGAAGTGGGGGGAAAAAAGAGGGCAGGAAGGGGAGCAGGACAGCAAACAAAATTCCTCAAAAGCAAAAATAGGCCCACGCCTGTGATCCCAGCACTTTGGGAGGCCTAGGCAGGCGGATCACGGGGTCAGGAGTTCGAGACCAGCCTGGTCAACATAGTGAAACCCCGTCTCTACTACAATACAAAAATTAGCCAGGCCTGGTGGCGCGGGCCTGTAATCCCAGCTACTCAGGAGGCTGAGGCAGGAGAATTGCCTGAACCCGGGAGGCGGAGGTTCCAGTGAGCTGAGATCGCGCCACTGCACTCCAGCCTGGGCGACAGAGCAGGACTCCATCTCAAAACAAAAAAAAGAAAAAAAAGCAAAAGAGAACAAAGCGACACGAAAAAGGGCCTCCAAGGATGGACAAGGAGCCGGGTGTATTCATGGGAGGCAGGATTAAGGAGTTGGGTTTTGGGGCCAGGCTGCCCAGGCTAGACTCCTGGCCCATCTGTGGGGCCCTGGATAAGGGGCTTAAGGTCGCCGCCGTGCCTCAGTCTCTCCATCTGTATAATGGGTCAGTATACTTAAAAAGAGTCAATATAATTCCTGTTCAGAGCAGTGCCTGGTACCAGATCCCGGTACCTCTCCCGGACTGCCTCCTCTGTAGCGCCCTCCCGCTCGGCCTCCCGAGCTGCAGCATCAGCCAGGTCGCGGGCGGCGCGGGCCATGTTGACAGCGGTAGGCCGGGCGGTGACGAGGAAGCTCAGCTTGTCGCGCACGAAGGCCACCAGCGCGGCGAGTCCCGGTCCCCCGGCGCCCGTCTGCAGCTCCACGGCGAGGCTGAGGCAGCCCACTAGGGCGATGGCTGGGGCGCCCCTCACCTGTGGGGGAGGGATCGGGGCGTCGGAGGCTACAGGTGCTGGCGCACCCTCACCTCCAGCCCCGCCGCCCCGCCGCCCCGCCGCCCCGTTGCACCTTCATGGCACGGATGGCCTCCCAGGCTTGGCGCACCGAGCCCACCGCCTCGTAGTGGGTTTGCTGGGGCAGCAGCAGCTGGTCCAGGATCTGCAGGGAGCCCCGCGAGTAGCGGATCGCCTCCAGGGTCATGGTGCAGCGGCCAGACCCAGCGCAACTCCCGGGGCACTGGAGTCCGTGTGCACGTGAGGAGCGGGGCGGGCCGTGGGCGGAGCCTCCCCCGGAAGAGGCGCACGCGCATGCGCATCCAACCTGACCCCCCCCCCCCCCACCCCACGGGTTCCCAGGACGCGCAGTCCAAGTGGCCGAACCCGCTCCAGGTCTCCTGCCAAGCCCGGATGCAGTGAGCCGCTGCCTCGGAACCACAAAAGTGGCACTATTTATGGGGCGCCCACTGGATACCAGGCCCTGTGTTTAGCAGCCTGCTATCTAGAGTCAGGGGTGTGTTCCCGGTGGCAAGGTAACATCAAGTGTTCACGTGATAGAATTTGTTAAATGATCTTCCTTCTCCAAGCTTCAGAAGGAGGTAGTGGGGGGTCGTGCACCCCTTGAAGGATGCATGGCTGTTTCTGGGCCACTCTGCTCAGTTTCATTCAAAAGTTAGCATGCAGGCTGGGCGCTGTGGCTCACGCCTGGAATCCCAGCACTTTGGGAGGCCGAGGTGGGTGGATCACTTGAGGTCAGGTGTTCGAGACTAGCCTAGCCAACATGGTGAACCCCTGTCTCTACTAAAAATACAAAAAATTGGCCGGGCATGCTGGCACGTGCCTGGGAGTCCCAGCTACTCGGGAGGCTGAGGCAGAAGAATCACTTGAACCCAGGAGGTGGAGGTTGCAGTGAGCCCAGATCACACAACTGCACTCCAGCCTGGGCGACACAGCGAGACTCAGTCTCAAAAACAAAACCCTAAAAGTAACATGCACGGAAGGCTTTTCCATGGGCTGGGGATAATAAACATCTCACGCCCGTGTGCTCCAGCCCCTGCTGCATCTGGCACAGATCTTGGGTACCCCGTGTGCCTCCGTCCTGGCCTTGCGTGTGTGGTTTCTGCTGCCTGGCCCCCTTTTCACTCTTCACACTTGGCCCATGCTGCCTCCTCCAGGAAGGCTGCCCTGATTCCTGGCCAACCTGAACCACCACCTTGAGACTCTCGTCACTCTGGGTGGGGACCACATCCGTGGTCATAGCTATGACCCTATGCCAGCATTTGCTGATGAGAGGCCTGCCAAGGTTCGTCAAGTGGAGGGGCTGGGGGGCAGCCACAGGGCCGGTCTAATAACCCAAGACAGGGAAAAAGAAACAGGGCTTTAATGTACGAAGTCCGACAAGGCACAAACATCCTCACCAGGACCAAATAAATAACTCCACGGTTGCAGGAAGGCGAGGTCTGGGGAGGGGCGGCGTCTGAGCTCCCCCCAGGGCTGGGGGCCAAGCAGAGGGCCTACGGCCTGTGAGGGGCCTCCTGGGTGTGTCCCGGCCTCTGGAGCAGGTCCAGTCCCCAGGATGGGGATGGCTCAGTCACTCTCGGAGTCGGAGTAGTCCGCCACGAGGGAGGAGCCGAGGCTGCAGGGGTGCGGCGTGTCCGGGGCGTCAGCTGTTTCTTGGGAGGAGCCGGCTGGGGACAGGGGCTTGTCCTGATGGCTCCCTTCCTGCCCCTTCGGCCCGCTGCACTTCGGGGTCGCAGCTGTTTCCCGAGGACAGTCTCCGGGGGACACGGGCTTGTCCTGGGCAGTCTCCTGTGGTACCCGCGGTTCTCCGCACTTGGGGGTGTTGGCCGCATGCTGTGGGCTCTCCGGGACGTCCCGAGACCGCCGCCGCACGATGCCCAGGTCCCCCACGGTGATGGGGGAGGTGGCGAGCGCAGTTCTGCGGCTCTGCGCCAGCTTCTTCAGGACGCCGCTGACCTTGCTGCTGGAGCCGGATCCGGGGGTGGAGGGGAACCAGGAGCGGCTGATGATCTCGGTCCGCTTGAGCTTCTGCTTGTCCTCGTAGGCTGGAGGAAAAGAGAGGGCATTTCAGGGGCGGCAGGGGAGGAGGTCCAGACCTGCCCTCTGCTAGACCAGTGTCCACTCATGGCTGAGGAACCCCCATCTCCAGGCAGCTGTGAGCCTCCCTGCCCACTCTCCCCCCGCTCCCCACGCACAGTCCAGGGTGTGGAACTTGAGCAGCGCCGCCAGCCTGCGGTCGTCCTCCGTCTCCGGGACCAGCGGGATGCTCAGGCCCGCCTTGGTCTGCAGGGCCTGGTCTCTCTCCTCCTCCTCCTGGATGGCTTTTTTCTTTTCCTGTGTCGGGGCCACGAACACCGGAGACAGCAGGTGTGTCAGAGCCGGCTCCTCTGCGGGCTAGCGGGCACTGCTCCAGCTCTCTGCGTCTCCGTTTACTTTTTTTTTTTTTTTTTTTTTTTTTGAGACGGGAGTATTGCTCTGTTGCCCAAGCTGGAGTGCAGCAGCGTGATCTGAGTTCACTGCAACCTCCGCCTCCCCGGTTCAAATGATTCTCCTGCCTCAGCCTCCCGAGTAGCTGGGATTACAGGTGTGCACCACCACATTTGGCTAATTTCTGTATTTTTAGTACAGACCGGGTTTCACCATGTTGGTCAGGCTGGTCTGGAACTCCTGACCTTGTGATCCACCCGCCTCGGCCTCCCAAAGTGCTGGGATTACAGGCGTGAGCCACCGCGCCCCGCCTTCAATTTACTTTTCTTTTTTGAGACAGGGTCTCATTCTGCTGCCCAGGCTGCAGTGCAGTGGCACAATCATGGCTCACTGCAGCTCCAGCTCCTGGGCTCAACTGATTCTCCCATCTCAGCCTCCTGGGCATCTAGTACTACAGGCGTGCACCACCACGCCCAGCTATTTAAAAAATTTATTTTTGTAGAGGCTGGGCGTGGTGGCTCACACTTGTAATCCCCGCACTTTGGGAGGCCGAGGCGGGTGGATCCCTTGAGGCTAGGAGTTTGAGACCAGCCTGGCCATCATGGCAAAACCCTGTCTCTATTAAAAATACGAAAATTATCTGGGCATGGAAGCATGCGCCTGTGGTCCCAGCTAATCAGGAGGCCGAGGCAGGAAAATCGATTCAACCCGGGAGATGGAGGTTGTAGTGGGCCGAGATGTGCCACTGCACTTAAGCCTGGGCGAAAGAGGGAGACTGTCTCAAAAAAGAAAAAAAATGTTTTTTGGCCGGGCGTGGTGGCTCACACCTGTAATCCTAGCACTTTGGGAGGCTGAGGCGGGCGGATCACGAGGTCAAGAGATCCAGACCATCCTGGCCAAAATGGTGAAACCCCGTCTCTACTAAAAATACAAGAATTAGCTGGGTGTGGTGGCACATGCCTGTAGCCCCAGCCACTTGGGAGGCTGAGGCAGGAGAACTGCCTGAACCGGGGAGGTGGAAGTTGCAGTGAGCCGAGGTCTTGCCACTGCATTCCAGCCTGGCGCCTGGCAATGGAGCAAGGCTCTGTCTCAAATAAATAAATAAATAAAATAAAAAAAATGTTTTTTGGCCGGGCGCGGTGGCTCAAGCCTGTAATCCCAGCACTTTGGGAGGCCGAGGTGGGTGGATCACGAGGTCAAGAGATCGAGACCGGCCGGGCGCGGTGGCTCAAGCCTGTAATCCCAGCACTTTGGGAGGCCGAGGCGGGTGGATCACAAGGTCAAGAGATCGAGACCATCCTGGTCAACATGGTGAAACCCCGTCTCTACTAAAAATACAAAAAAAATAGCTGGGCATGGTGGCACGTGCCTGTAATCCCAGCTACTCAGGAGGCTGAGGCAGGAGAATTGCCTGAACCCAGGAGGCGGAGGTTGCGGTGAGCCGAGATCGCGCCATTGCACTCCAGCCTGGGTAACAAGAGCGACACTCCGTCTCAAAAAACAAAACAAAACAAAACAAAACAAAACAAAACAAAACAAAAAAAAAGAGATCGAGACCATCCTGGTCAACATGGTGAAACCCCGTCTCTACTAAAAATACAAAAAATTAGCTGGGCATGGTGGTGCGTGCCTGTAATCCCAGTCACTCAGGAGGCTGAGGCAGGAGAATTGCCTGAACCCAGGAGGCAGAGGTTGTGGTGAGCCGAGATCGTGCCATTGCACTCCAGCCTGGGTAACAAGAGTGAAACTCCGTCTCAAAAAAAGAAAAAATAAATAGAAAATGTTTTTTTGTAGGGATGAGGTCTCACCATGTTGCCCAAACAGTCCTCCCATCTGAGCCTCCCAAAGCACTGGGATTACAGGTGTGCGCCACCATGTGCGGCCTCATTCCACAGATACTTCTGGGACGCCCACCTTGTGCTAGGCTTTGTTCTAGACACTGGGGACACAGCAGCAGGCAGAGAATAACCCTTGTCCGGGTGGAGCTGACTGTCTCATGGTGAGACAGTGATAAGGAGAAAAAAAAAACAACGCAGGACGGTCGGGTAGGGGGTGGGCTGGGAGGCTCCGTTTAAATGTGGTGGTCAGGTCAGATGCACCGACTCACACCTGTAATCCCCACACTTAGGGAGGCCGAGGCAGGTGGATCGTATGAGGCCAGGAGACTAGCCTGGCCAACACAGTGAAAACCTGTCTCTACTAAAAAATACTCTGGAGGATGAGGCAGGAGGATCACTTGAACCAGGAAGCAGAGGTTGCAGTGAGCCAAGATTGCGCCAATGCACTCCAACCTGGGTGACAGAGTGAGACACCCACTGTCTCAAAAATAAAAAAGAAGTTAAATTTCTATTTTTTATTTTTAAATTTTGAGATGCTGGGGTTGGGGGGGGGTGTCTCACTATGTTGCTCAGGCTGGTCTTGAACTCCCGGTGTCAGGTGATCCTCCCAATGTGCTGGATTGTAAGCGTGAGCCACTATGCCCAGCCACATTTCTACTATTTATAAATTGCCCAGTCTGTGTTTTTTTTTTTTATTATAGCAGCTGAAATGGATTAAGACAGGGCATGATCACCATGTAGCAGATGGGGAAACTGAGGCTCAGAAGGTACAGTGGTCTGCTCATAGCTAGGATGCAGTGGGGAGGGCCGGCCTGGGCCTGAGCCCCCCGTGTGTCCCCTCGCCGACCTGGGCTGGAGCCTGCTCACCCGGAACTGTCTTCGCAGCATGCTGTTCAGGGCGAAGTCGTCCTTCCAGGCGCTCTGCGCCTCCTGGATGTGGCTCAGTGTGGGCAGCGCCTTCTTGAGCGTGCTCCGGTCGGCCTCGCCGTGCT